TACCACATTTTCTTAATGCATTCATCAGTAGTGGGGCATCTTGGCTGTTTCCATAGCTTGGCTACTGTGACTAGTGCCACAGTAAACATGGGTGTGCAGGTGCTTTTGTTGTAACCTGACTTGCATTCCTTCGGTTATATTTCTACGAGTGGTGTTGCTGGATCATGCGGCATATCTACACTTAGTTTTTTAAGGAGCCTCCAGGCTGTTTTCCATAGTGGTTGCACTAGCTTACATTCCCACCAGCAGTGTCATACCACCCATTTTGACTACAGAAAATAAAAGCATATCAATGGTAAAGTGACAGACCTGAAATGTAGTGCAGTGAGAGAGCACATAAAATAGAATGGGTGTGGCCCTGCATTAGATTCCCAGTACCAAAATTGAAAAAGAAGAAGAAATAGTGGAAGCAGCAGAGGAAAATAATTATGCATGGTTTTATCTTAATTTTTCATATGTGTACCTTGATTGTTTTGAGAATTTCTACTCTTTATTTCAGCACTTTGTAGAAAACAAGCCACCCACAAATAGGAAGAAATTCTTTTATTTTTTCTTTTGTTGGAACTTGGGTTGAACCCAGAATACCATTTGAGTCTCCATTTTGCTTTGGTTACTATGGAGATGGGGTCTTGATAACCATTTGCCCAGGCTGGCCTCCAACCACACACAGTCCTCCTGATCTCAGCCTCCCACTGGTGTGAGCCACAGGCATCCAAATGGAAAAACTCTTAAAGTGTCATATTTCTTATTGCAAAGTGACCCAGACTATAGTTCAAACTATTTGTAAAGTTAGAATATTAACAGTTCAAATATTTATTCCTTTGCCCTACTACCACTGAGATGTGATGTTTACATTTTAACCCAGCAGTCTCTGCAAAGGAAGATACCTTGACATAACTTTATATGACAATTGGCCCTGTTAAATTTCTGGGAATGGCAAGGCCATTGGAAAGACCAGGTTTAGAGGAGCAGAGTTTGAGTCAATATACATTTCAGTATTCCATGGACTGACCTCTTTTACTTTGATCTTTGGCTTATGCACATTTTTATGGAGAGTTTTTAATGGTACATTTCACTGAAAATGAAAATATTTTTTCTTTGCTCATGTAAACTGAGCCCATTGTTGAATAAACACTGGCAGCATCCACCTTGTATTAGTTACCCTTCTTGTCACCAGGACTAAATGCCTGACACAAACAACTTAAGGGATGAAAGATTTATTTTAGGTATGGTTTCAGTCCACCAAGGCATGGTAGAGCTGAGCTGATTAATACCTGGAACTAAATGTTCTGTACTGGAGCAGTAACAGAAAAGGGCCAGGGAAAGATGGATTCCCCAAGGTCAAGGCCACAGCGACCCACTTCTTCCAACCAGACCCCACCTTCCACAGTTCCACCACCTCTCAATAGACTATTCAAAGTTTGAATTCATCAGTGGATTAAACCATTTATTAGATCAGACTCCTCATTTTCTCTGGAAAGGCCCTTGCATGTGCTGATGTGTGCTTTGGGTGTTTCTTATTAAAGCAGGTAAACAAATAAGATTAACCACTGTACACTTGTTTCCAATTTATTACTAAGTATCATCCTTGATCTTTACATGCTTAGTTTGTCCTTGGTCCTAGATTTAAGACCTATCATGTTTGACCTAATGCTGTTTTTCTGTCTGAGTGCCTCATAGGGTAAGAAAAGAACATTTAACTAGAGTTCAGTAGGTGATGATGTGACCACCAGGTGGAAGTAAACCTCAACTGATGTATAATATGCAGAGTTCATTTCAGTGGATTAAATATGAGTAGGCAGAAGCAAACCATTTTTCTCCGTGACTGGCTACATGAATAGCCACTCTAACTGTTAGAGATAAAAAGCAACAACCTGATTACAGATGTAGCTCTCCTGGCAAGAGTTAACAATTCTACAACTGATCTTAATTGGAAGAACAATGAAGATGTCCTTTCATACTTCATTCCTGTTGCTGTGGCTGCAGCTAGATTGTAAATTGAGGGTTTGCGGACAACAGAATTATATGAGTGGATGTTCTTTAGAAATGCAGCAAGAAATTGGTTTTATTCAGGTTTCCTCTAGCTACTGCAGAAAAAGTGAGTCTTGGAAAGTAATGACCTGACAACCTTCTCCTTTCTCTTCTTTTTCTGTATTTCGGAGAGCCGAGGAGAGATGGTAGGGCAGCATCCTTCTATCCCTGGTGTCCTGGAGGGAGACCGCTCTCTTATCAACTGTGATTACTCAGTGCCTCAGCCTACTTCCTTTGGTACAAGCAAGAACCAGCAAAGAGTCCCCAGCTCATTGTTGACATTCTTTCAAACAGGAACAAAAATCAAAAACAAAGACTCACGATGTTATTGAACATTCCTTCATGTATTCCTTCTCCCTGTACACTGAAGGCATCCACCCTGGGCAGTCAGCCATCTACTTCTGTGCAGCAATGCACATCACTTCCCAGGCACCTTCAACCTGTCCTCAAACCTGCCACTGGGCTGCAGCCCCACCCTTGTCCTTCTGGTATAGCATTGGACAGTTGTTTGTAAGTGGCAATTAACATACTTGTGTGAGATTAGCCTCCACATTTCACAGTCTTCAAAAAACATTTTCTCTGTTAAATAGATTAAAAGAATACCAGAGCTAGCAGGACTCTTAGAAATCCTTCAGTCCACATTCAGTTTACAAAGGGAGAAATTACATGTAAGAGGCCAGTAAAAGACAATCAGTCAGCAAATGACTGTAAAACTCCATTTCCTCACTTACTCCTGAGCTTTCTGTTCCCAGCCTCATTCCTGCAGCACGCTATTACTGAACAAGGAGAAACTGCTTAATGATAGCCCAGCCACTTTGACCTCTGCTGCTTGGTTCTGGAAAAGACTGTATCCAAGCAGTTCGGCCACCAGAACAGAGTGTTCTGGTTTATGTAAATGTTTGACACATGGGGAGAAAGGAGTCCTAGGATGAGCCTCTGTTTTCCTGCCAGAAAATCAATCCACCATTCATTGGCTGCTGTGAGCTGAACTAACAGTTATGGTGTGTCTGTCCCCAATACCCACACATTTAGTACTTTTCTAAAAGTGACAATGTGTATTAATTACCCGGGTGGAAGTCTCTTGAAGGAAAGATGCCAACATAAAGAACATCCCTCCTACACTATCACTGAAATTTAGACACTAAGTGATGTATTGTCCTTCTGCACCTGACAGTCTGTCAATGTGCCATAAAAATCTTTTCTTGGATGTCATAACTAAAAAGGCAAATATTGACCTAAATTATCATTTTCTAAGAAACAGAAAATTTACTTGTTGAATTATTTGAGAATTCCATCACATGGAGAATGGGTGAGAAAACAGAAGAACCTAGAAGGGAGAAATGTTATATATGTGAAAACGTGTTTTATTTGTATACACACATATTTAAATATTGAGTTAAAGCTCATCATCACAGCTTTTCTAAAGTCTTCAAGTGTGTAAATTGTGAATGAGGGATTAGATCTATTCCCTATAACACTTAGGACTACTAAGAACAAATCACAGGGAAGGAATTCCACTTCTGAAAATAAGGTCATCTTTGTTTGCCAGAAACCCTGGTCAGTTCTTCAGGGTCACTTTCCAATTCATACTATCCCTGTATTAGATACAGGCAACATTTAAGTTTCCTTAGAACTATTCATATAGAATTAATCAGAAAATACCAAGATATCAAAGTAGATGAGAAATGTTTTGTGGCAAAGGGAGATAATACTGGAAATTTATAGGACTGAAAGAGTTTTTTGAGGTTTTGGGGAAAGAAAATTGTAGCAAACTTTGGCAGAAAAAAACAGTGAACAAGGAAACAAGAGTCCATGCTAGGAGGTTTGCTTCAGATCTTAGAGGAATTTCAGGTCGGTCACTGCATTTGGTCAATTGTTCAGACAGCAAGAGTTCATGCCTTGAGGGTTGGCTCATTATGTAGAGGAAATCCAAGAAGGTAAAAGCCAGGTATCTCATCTCAAAGATGCACTATCCATTTTTTATAGCAGAAAATCAAAACACATTTGTAATAAACTTACATATGGTTACATTTTTCAAATGAGTGTCTGATTTTTATGAGAATCTCTACTCCTTCCTGCAGCTTTTTGACAAATACAAGTTGCATAGCAATATGAAAAGATTTCTGAATCAATGCCAGATTCCTCATTGTGAATTAATCCAAATTATGGATTAAACCTTTTCCAAATTTGGGAGTATTAATAACATAAAAACTATGCCCCTATTCCTTTCTCAATGAGACATGACATTTCCTTTTATCACAGCCCTCTTTACTGAAGGAAGATAAGTCAGTGTGACTGTGAGCTCTGTCCATTCTTTGGGAAAGGTGAGGTGATGGGCTAGACCAGGTTTGGAGGAGCAGAGCCTGGGATTATATGCACCTCAAATATTCAGTGCTCCTTTCTCTCTTACTTTGAACTTTGGTTTATACATTCCTTTTAGGAAGAATTTTTCCTTGTGAAAAACTACTATTGAAGGTAGACCTGGTTAAAAAGGTCAGTGCTCTCTTTTCCTGGTCATGAGAGTGAGTCATGGTGTTTTCTTGATTTCAAACATCAGAAATCATCAGATTGTTGAATAAAAACAGGAAGCATCATCTTTTCTTAACAGATTAATAATGATGCAGTAGTGAAGAAAAATACCAACTTTGATATGGACATGATTATGGTGCATTTAATGTTTAATCCAAGAAATACATTATATAATTTATTGCTGTTTTGTATGTCTGAGTCCTGCATAGGGTAATTGAAGAACATTTAACCAGAGAGTTCAGTAGTTAGGGATGTGACCACAAGGTGGCAGTAAACCTCAGCTGATGCACAATATGCAAGAGGGTTCATTTCAGAGGATTCTGAAGGAATGGGCTTAGGGCAGAATGCTTATTGCCTGGGTAGACAACTCAAGAAGTCACTTTAATTGTAAGAGAGAAAGAGGAGAGCTTGCTAATAGAAGTGGCTCTCCTGACTAGAGATTGCAAGTCTACAATTGATGCTATTTAGGAAAAACAATGAGGAGACTGATGCATGAGTTACTCCTCTTCTTGTGGCTGCAGCTGGACTGTGAGTTGAAGATTTGGGGCAAGAGAGTATGCTAGTTTATGTCCTTTAGATGTTTAAGGAGAATTTCAGTTTATTCAGTTTTCTCTAGTTGCTGGGGAGAAAGAAAATTCTGGAGAGTAATGACCTGACAACCTTTTCTTTTCTCTGTTCCTTTCACCTAGGTGTGATCCAAGGAGAGAAGGTGGAGCAGCATCCTTCTATCCTGAGTGTCCATGAAGGAGACCACTCTGTTATCAACTGCACTTACTCAGACAGTGCCTCGGCCTACTTCCCTTGGTACAAGCAAGAACATGGAAAGGGTCCCCAGCTCATTATTGACCTTCGTTCAAATCGGGACACAAGTAATAAAGACAGACTCATGGTTTTACTGAACAAAAAGGACAAGCACTTCTCCCTGTACATCAATGGTACCAGGCCTGGGGACTCAGCTGTCTACTTCTGTGCAGCGAGTACACATTGCTTTCCAGGCACCTGCAACCTGTCCTCAAACCTGCCACTGAGACTGCAGCCCCACCTTTGTCCTTTGGCACAGACCATCTGGCACTGCATTTGACAGTTGTTTGTTTGTAAGTGGCAAATATCACAGATACATTAAAATCATGTTATAAGATGAGTAGGTTTAGGGTGACCCAGCAATGGTTAGAACATTTGCTGGCAGATTGTTGGTTAAAAATTTCTTTTCCTGATTTTTATTTTATTCGTTACATTTAAGATGTGCAGCATGATGTCTGCCTATATAGTTCTTGTTTTGAAAAACATGAATAGCTGAATGAGGAGATGCATAGGACAAGGTCTGCAGGAACAGGCACAGCGCCTCTGTCCTCAACAGCACACCAAACCAACACATCCTCATATTCTGCCATCCTGAAACTGCACTCCATGGATTCTTACAGAGAATTATGATTTTTTCTTGAAATGTTTTATATGTGAGTTTACATTACTACTCAAACTCCTCAGTTACTTCACATAAATAACTCCTTAGTACCACCAACAAAGGACTATTTGCCAAAGGTAGAAAATGCAAATAATACAAAACTATGAAATTAATAATTCTGTATCTCATTGTTTGTTAATATTTTCTCAATGCTACAAAGATTCAGATATGTAGGATCAACAAGTCTACTGATCTATTGTACAATATAGGGATTATGATTAATAAAATCATATGATATAAGATTTCTGTTCAATGTGTAGGCATTAGCTGTTCTTGTCATGTGTTCAAAAAGTAACAGTGTAAAATTATGAACCAGTTATTTAGAGGCTGTTAATTTGTATGTTCCCATCTCTGGTTAAGGATAAGCTAATAAAGAGCTCCTATGTTCCTACTAAGGTTGGATATAATTGGCCATTGGTATGGTGAGAACGATCCCTCTTGGCTGAGTTATGGATGCTAGTCATCAGCTGATTGGCTAGTTCTTATAGTCATTAGAATAAGAGGTTTAAAAGGTCTAAACATGTAGCCCAGCACTCAACTGATTTTCCTACTTCCTTCACTATACAACTAGCTCCTGTCCCAGAGAAGCAAGGCAGCTCTTGATTGGTGAACTTCCCCCAAGTCTGGTTATGGGGTGGGAGGGAAACATGGCTTATATTTTATTGGCTTTTTTACTGGCTATAAGACAAAAGCTTAAAACAACAGAAATATTTTTTCTCTCATGACTCTGGAGTCCTGAGGTTGAAATCAGTTTCCCTGGGCTGGAATCTAGATTTTGGCAGGGCTGCACCTCTCAGAGGCTGTAAGAGGATCTCTTATTTGCCTCTTCCAGCTCTGTTGGTGACCAGCACTGGGGCTGCATCAGTCCAGTCTCTGCCTCCCCAGTGACACTGACATCTCTTCTGGTGTCATCTCTTCCCTTGCCTCCCTCTCACAAGCTCACAGGTGATTCCATTTCAAGGTCATATAATCCATGATGTTCTTCCCTCTCAAGATCATGAACATAATCATATCTGCATATAAAGGAACAGGACCTCTTGGTGGGAGCTCTTGTTTTGCCCATCACAGTTGCCATGATTTGGCCTTTACTTTCCACACTGAGAAAATAATATATGTATTAAACAGAGTCCACTAAGAAAAACGGAAACCAAAAATTTTATTTTCTTATTGTCCTTAATTTTTATTTTTTAAAATATCACAAAGAATATCTAACACTTTGACATGCAGTTCTGTCTGTGAATATTGAATTCGAATGCATTGCATAGATCAATTCCTATTACACAATCACAATACAGAAAGATTTGATCACCTCAAAAATCTCTCCTATGCTATCCTGTTGTAATCATGTGCTCCCCATTTCTAACTGCTTGCAAACTTTAGTGTGCTCTTCTCTATTTATTTCAGAATATCATGTGAAAGTATATAATCACTGGAGAACTTTGCATCTCAGTTAGAGGCAACACAAGCCCCATTAGGCACAGGGATACCCAGCTCTGCTGCCACCATCAATTTTTCCTGCGCTTGTGAAAACTTAAGTTTTCATACCATTTTCTTAAAATTTGTTATTTCAAATGTTTAAATTTTAGTATTGCAATTGATAATGGAAAAGTACAGCTGAGGATTACACCAATTTATATCATCACGTTGAGTCATGTTTTATATATAAGTTGAGTTACCCCAGCTCTATCCTACATTTTTATCAGTTAATATTTTTCTAACCTTTTGTGTCTATTTCTTTGATCAAAATCCACTTTGTCTACACTAATTGGGACTGTATTATCATTTGGAGTTTCCAAGCAGTGGCATTGCATGACAGATGGAACAAATATTCAGGTTTGTTACACAGCAATGGCTTTGTAGTTGTGAAATATAGCATTAGTGTGATTATAACCTCAAGTCATATTACACCAGAGAAAGTTATTTTATTATTAAAGTAATATAGTAGGATACATTATAAATATATAACATTCTACCATTAACATGAAAAAAACATCACTAAAAGGAGAAAAACAAAGGACTGAAAGAGACAGTGGGACCATCAGTGGTTCCAATCACACAGCAAGCATTTTTGTGATAGTTTCACTGGATTGTTTATCTCATGTAAGAACAGCTTTGTTTCAAGGATCCTGTGTCAACTCTCTTCTCTTTCTCCTCCTCCTCTTCCTTTTCTTTGTCCTCTTCACCCTCCTCCTCCATCTTGTTCTCCTGGCTTATTTCTTGAGATAGTGTCTCACTAAATTTTTCTTGGACTGCCTTAAACCACAATCCTCTAATTATGCCTACAAAGTAGCTGAGATTATAGGTGAGGGTCACCATGGCTTCTCATCTTCTCTGGACAGTCTGCTCAAAGAATCTCTGTACACATTTTATCTGAAGAGCTTTTTAATTTCTTTCCCTTAGGAATGGGTGATGTTATATTAGCTGGTACAATGCAAACATGAATTAATTCCTTGTGCTTTATGCTTAATGGGTAGTAAACAGTATCCAGTGAAGTCATTTCAACAGGGTTCAAAGGTGTTTTTTTCAGGAATTGTTTTTAGAACCCCAAGTCATCCATGTTTAAGTCACATAAAGGCTGATTAAGTGAAAAGACAGGAAAAGCAACGTGTTGGTAAGTTAAAGGAATTGTGCATAGTGAGCTTATCTAGTTAAGTTTGTAAAAATATATGGAACATACATGGTTCGGGAGTTACCTGTGCTCACCGTGATCAGTTCAAAACAAAACAACATGTGACTTTGTGAAGAGGAAGAACAGAGGGCAGAGAGCTAAGGTAATAATACACTGCAGATGCCTTGAGAATTCAAGGACATCTGATACAGGAATTCATTGAAGTCTTAATGTTCTATTTGTTGTCTCCAGATTTTCAGCAGATAAGAACAGTTGATGGAAAAAACTTAATTTTCTGAGTGGTGCCAAAGCCTTACATACCTGTCCTAGAGAAATATGCTCCCTGTGTATAGATGAGCTAAGTGTCACAGGTAAATGATGTAACATCAAAATGATTTTCAGTTATCACAACTACAGTGGATGACAGGAGAGTGCTTCAACCCAGGTAGAAGATAAAATAAACTCGATTAATAGTTCACACTCATAACCCACATAGGAAATGAAATGTTGTAAAATCCTATGGGAGATATCAAATGGTTCCATAGGACCATATTCCTGTGGAATATCCCACCTTCACTGATTTTATTGGTTCCAGAAAGACATGAATTGGCCACATTCCCTGCCATTTGGGTAAAATTTTCTCAGAAGTGTTCGTTTAATGTTTAAGTCAGGTTGTTACAACTGTGATGAGCTGTCTCTGGAGGTTTTACCAAGTGTTCATTAAAGACTATGTAGCTCCACCTTTCTGTTTTTGGAAATATCTTATCCTTATTGATGAAACAAACTGAGTGTTTGTAGTTTTACTTTACTATATTTCAAACAAAAGTTTCTGCATCTGGGATGGAATTGTGAAGTTATTCCATGGATTTGTCTGTATTTTTCACAGCAGGCCTTTATGTAAGGACTACAGTTAGAAAGGAATGTTTAATTTCTCCTGATCATCTGCTCAAGCACTTTCATCTAGCTTCTTTTTGTTTATCTGTCTATTTTTGGTTATACCCACTATTTTCTACAGTTTTTAGTAGGTTTCATTATGTCATTTCCATACATATATACAAAGTATTCAGTATTATTTACCCCATTATCTTCTTTCCTCTCTTCCCCCCAATTTTCCCCTGCAATAGTCTAACAGTTACATTAGTGTTATCTATCTATCTATCTAGCTAGCTGTCTACCTATCATCTATCTCCTATAGATTCTGAATATGAGAGAAAATATTTGATATTTGTTTATCTGAGCTTGGCTAATTTTGATTAACATTATGACTCCAGTTCAATACATTTCCCTGTGCATGATATAATTTACTCTTTAAGCTGAATAAAACTCCATTGTGTAAATATATCACATTTTTTTATCCACTCATCTGTTAATTGGCACCCAGGCTGTTTCCATAGCTTGTCTATTGTGAATAGTGGTGCAATAAACATGGGTGTGCAGGTGTCTCTCTTGCATCCTAATACATGCCCAAGAGTGGTATAGCAGCATCATAGGGTAGTTCTTTTAAGTTTTTTGAGGAACCTCCATATTAATTTCCATAGCATCTGTGCTAATTTACATTTCCACCATGGTATATAAGGATTCCTTTCCCCCCAGCCTCCTTGGCAGCATTTGTCATTGTTTGTGTTCTTTAGGTTAGTCATTCTAACTCAGGTGAGTAATATCTAGTGCTATTTTGATTTGTATTTCCTTTATGGTCAGATATGTTGAATATTTCTTCATATTTTTTGGCTATTTATACTTTTTCTGAGAATCATTTGTTCAATCCATTAGACAATGTATTAATTGAATTATTTGTTCATTTTGGTGTTCTATTTTTTGAGCTCTTTTTTCTTGTTTAAATCCCTTGTCAGATGAATAGCTGGCAAAGAATTTCTCCCCTTCTGTAGGCTGTCTTGTCATCATAGTAACTGTTTCTTTTGCTGTGTAGAAAGCTTTTAGTTTTATGCAATCCCATTTGTCTATTTTTCATATTATTGCCAGACATATGGAGTACTATTCAGGAAACTGTTGT